CTCCCCCGCCCCCCTCCCCCACCTCCCCCCACGTCCCCCCACCACACGGTCCGACCGAGCTGAGGTGGTGACCGACAGCTCTTGGAAAAGGTTTTAAATATTTAATCTGGGAGTCGAGCGTGAGCCGATCAATGTCTAGTCTCTTTATCACCTCCTCCTCCACCTCCTCCTCCTCCTCCATCAATCAATAACCCCGTGGGTTTGGCCTTTTTTTGTTAATAAAGAGCGGCCCAGAGACACGGCCCACTGTCTGTGACCCACGTCACCTGTCGTCATCCGTCACTGACAGGAAACTCTCCTGAGGACGGCAGCAGTTTGACTGTGTCTTATAACAAAGTTGTCTTTGAGAATTAACAACCTCAAGTGTTAGCATCCTCAGTGTTAGCATCCTCAGTGTTAGCATCCTCAGTGTTAGCAGTGTTAGCATTGTTAGCATCCTCAGTGTTAGCATCCTCAGTGTTAGCATCCTCAGTGTTAGCATCCTCAGTGTTAGCATCCTCAGTGTTAGAACTTTCAGCCTCTGACAGAAGAGTCCGACCGTGTCCAGAACCACAGTCAGTGTTCAACTTCTCCAAATATAAAAACCACCTACTTCTTCCCAAACACCAGCGACTTCCTGTCTGTGTTCACAGCTCACAGTGACAGTTCAACAGGGCGTCAGCAGGTGGCGATGTGCCGCGTCACTCAACTATTCCCCCGGCATCCCTGCTCTCTGCCAGCTGGGACCCCTGCTTTAATCTGCCCCTCTGCCACTCACCCCACCCCTAAAAATACCCTCCCTCCCTCCCTCCCTCCCTCCCTCTCTCCCCCTCCCTCTTGGACCGTCTCGGTTCTCGGACGTTCTTGTCCTCAGGGACCATGACCACAGAGGGTGTCACCTCAGAACAACATGAAACCGCGGGTGTGACCACGGACTACTTCAACTCTGAAGAAAACAGTCGAACAGTTGGAGTTTGTTCTGTCAACAAGTTCTGGAAAGTTCTGAAATCTGATGACTTCTGACTTCTGCGGAGAGGTAAGAGTGTGTTGAAATCTGATGACTTCTGACTTCTGCGGAGAGGTGAGAGTGTGTGAGTGTGTGTCAGGAGTGTGTGTGAGTGTGTGTCAGGAGTGTGTGAGGAGTGGAGTTAGAGCTGCATGTGTGAAATGAAGTGTTTGTGGGTCTGGGTCTGGGTCTGGGTGGGGTCACTTGGACTTAGTCCAGTTACTGCAGACACACTGTCTCAGTTCAGTCAACATGTGCAGAGACACCAGGAACCAGAGACAGAGGGACAGAGACAGAGGGACAGACACTTTTCTTCAGCCACTGGCTGTCACTGACGAGGACAAACACGAGGTAAGGGGTCCAACAGCTGCTCTGTTGTGGTAACCGACCGATGGTTTGTTTCCTGACGCTGAGATCATGACGTGAAACCAACGCTTTACAACATCTGACTGTGTGAGGGGAACCAGGGTTCCACAGGAGAACTCACACTAGGACCAGACTGGGACACGACAACAGTGAGGAGAAAGTAGTGGAGTGTGGACCACCTGACCTCGCCGTACCACTCACCAGCCTGCACTCCATAGGTTTGTTCCACCACTAAATCTGAATTTTTTCCCTTTCACAGTGAAAGACGGTGAAATGTCCACACAGATATTTGGTGAAGGTGAACAGGCCGGTCGATCAGGTGAGGCGAGAACACTAACCCTAACCGTCTGTCTTCACTGGTAAATCTGAAGTCAACAGACGGTCAACAGACGGTCAACTCTTCTGCTGCGTCTGTTTCTCTGCAGTCCTGGGGATGGTGTCGGTGCAGGTGGAGCGAGACCCCAGGACAGGGGCTGCGGTCGTCAGGTCGGTGGCCCCCGTGTCCAGCCCGTCCGGCGCCGACCGAGCAAACGTGGTCTTTGACGACGGCAGAAAGAGCATCCACGCCCTGGGGGGGTCAGAAGGTCAACCCTCCACCCAAGAGCTGGGCCAGATCTTGAATGTCATCGACGGCGTGGGATTGACAGCGCTGCTGGATGATGTCGCCGTGGTGACGACTGGAGAAGAGACGAAGAGTGATAACGTAGCCGTGAGCGGGAGGACGGGGGAGACGCTCCCGTCATCGAGCCATCATCGGGTGACGGAAGATCACGTGACACGAGACGCCGGCTCCAGAGCTCACGGTGATTCACAGCCTGAGGTCAGCAGAGAGGTGACCTCCGCCGCGGGAGGAGCGGTGGACGACGTGGAGGATCAGAAATATGAAGACGGTCTGGTCACTCTTCTGTTCCTGGGATACACTGATGCCACCGCACAAAACATCCAGGAGGGCGGCGACGAGGGGATGCTCACGGTGGAGCGGGTGATGATCACAGACGACGGAGACGAGTACGTCATCGGATCCCGGACCTCGGCTCCATCAACGCCAACACCGGACAAGGAGACGGACGGACAGGAGGAACCAGAAGAGGTTCTGTTGGAGGGAAACGGAGCAGACTGTAAAGGTCAGGGTGAAGGTCACCCCCTCACCCTCCCTCCACCCTCACAAGCCAAGAAGAGAACCTGTCAGTGCTGCGCTGTCATGTGAGAGGAACCAGCAGCTCTGATAAGAACCACTGTCGCCCTCTAGTGGACAAAGACGAGAACTTTTTTATGTTTTGAACGTTTTACATTTGACTTTTTTTCAACCAAAACAATCCAACACCAAGAACAGGAGGAACCAGGAACGTTCTCCCACAGAACCTGCTCTCTGTTGAATGTAAGCGCGGCTGCTGAGGGACTTCCTGTCAATGTTTGTACGAACGCATCAGAACTATATATGAAAATGTATAAATACACAAATATTTAGAATATATTTCAGTTTATATACATACATATAGTCAATCATTTTATAACTTCTTATATAAATTATATAAATATAAAAATTCTTCTACACATATATGTACACATACAGTGTGTACTTATGTCCATACATGTGTAAATATATACATATACACGTACATATATAATCACATATACATACTGTATATACACATATATACATAAATAATATGTGGGATTTCTTGTGTCTTGCAACCTGTGTGTCAAATACGGGGCAGAGATTTGACCTTTGACCTCTGCAGTATGTCAAACATCGCCCCCTGTGTTTTCTTTCTGCTTCGACTGTATTTTGATAAACAGCTGATCAACTAATGTTTGTGAATTAAACAGGAAGTTGTCACGGTGACACTGTCTGCTCTCAAGTTCACTGCCATCAAACACGTCTCCCACAGTACAGACTGCCCCCTAGTGTCAGTCCAGACACTGTACGACCTGAGCCAGAACAGACAGAGAAAAGCTGATTAACTGTTCCTTCGTCAGCAGATGTAGCTGTACACTGTGTGTGTGTGGGGGGGGGGGGGGACTACCTCTACATTAGGAACTGAAGGTAAAGTATGAAGTAAAAGTGTAGTATAACGTGTCCTCACACGTGTACTACTACTACATTCTGAAAAACCTACTTCCCTGAAGTTCTGTTTCTTAAACCAAGGCCAAACTGAACTTAGGTTACCATGGAAACCAAATACCCAGAATGCATCCAGAGGTCTGTGACTATGGTCTGTGATGAATCTGCAGAGACCGAGTCCTCGTCAACCGTCTCCTAATTATCCATATTTTACTTCTCCCTCATCACCAGCAGAGGGCAGCACTGATGGAATTATCAATAGATTGAGAGTAATCCATCCAAATAGGGCAGTTAGTGCCTCAGAGGATAAAACTAATCCCAGCAGCTTAGTCTGACATCATCTGGCAACCCAGGACGAGAACACAGGACACAGGACAGAAGACAGACTCCACAGGACAGACTCCACAGGACAGAGTCCAGAGGACAGAGTCCAGAGGACAGAGTCCAGAAGAGTCCATGGAAGTCCTTTCTCTGCCCGGGAACAACAGAGACATCTCTGGAGAGGAGACAAACTTTGACGACTCCACGGAGGACACAGGACCGGAGACGGGGACACAGCTGAGAACTGGACCTTTAGGATCTTCTGGAGTGAACGATGGTGGTTCAGAGTCTGGTGGCCCCCCAGAGACTCCTGGGACGGGGAGTTATTCAGACCAGAGTCTGAACGAGAGCCACTGCAGTGGAGGGGACGGACCCCGACCCCCCACCTGTGAGGGCCGTGGGGGGGTGTTGAAGGACAGAGAGGAGACCATGAGTGGAGCGTCTGACGTCCTTCACGGAGAACAACTGCTTCAGCGTCTGCTGCTGCTGCAGCGACGACAGGAGGCTGAAGAACGGACAGAGGTCGAGTTCCATACAGAAGTGAGAGGGTTAACGTCAGGGGGGCGGAGCCTAACAGAAGACGACGTCAAAGGTTTGACGTTTCATGTCGTTACGATGGACAGAACAAAGGTCGACCTGGTGGAGGGAGAAAATGAAAACGTGAGCAAACCTCCGTCAGCGATGTGGACCAGAGAGGAGGAGGAGGAAGAAGAACCCGACAGATGGACCTCTGAAGACCTGGTTCCTCTCAGTCCACATGGAACCAGCAACAGTCCCCGTCTGTACGACCAGTACCCAGAGGTCCAGGAGGCCAAAAACAACCTGCAGAGAACCAGAGCGGTGGTCAATCTGGCAGATGATCCAGATGTTCTGGAGATCCCCTTTAAGACCAAAGTCTCTCTGGACCCCCACCCAGGTCTGGTTGGACCAGACCGTGGAGGTGAACCGAGGTTCTCTGAGCAGAAGATGCAGAAAGAGATCAGTCAAGAGATCCAGAGAGAGCTGGTGCTGATCAACCAGGGTTCGATTCCTGGGGTGTACAGCAAAGGACAGACGCTCCAGTTAAAGGAGGCCAAATTACTGTTCGAGTCCTTCCAGCAGGGGGCCACCAGGGGGCCCACCAGGCTCAGGAAACTTCCACCTGCACTGATTCACGGTCATGTTTATCCCTCGGTGCTGGAGCGCACACGCAGCCTGGAGATGTGTTCAGTTCAAGGGTGTCCGGTGGACAGAGTGCCCCCCCCCAGGCTGTCGGAGCCCCCGGCCTCTGAGAGGGTGGAAAGTCCTGGAGACCTCAGCTCTGGGGGGTCCAGAGACAGGACACGTCTCTCCCCTTACCCCAAACAAGACAAACACCCACGCCTCCACAGATCCATGGAGTGCATCACTAACAGCGACTCCACAGCACCTCCTGAGGCCAGAGGCAGAACTACAGCGACCACAGGTCAAGCTTCTCCACCGCCCCAGCAGAACCCGTTCTTCAAGCTCCGCCCAGCCCTGGCTCTTCAGCCGCAGGTGGAGAAGGACATCAGACAGGCCAGAGAGAGGGAGGAGGAGCTGCACCGGCAGAGGAGTGAGGTGTACGGAGAAACACAGGAGAAAAGTCAAGAAGGAGAAGGAGAAGAAGAGTCTCAGACGACAGGGACGCACGGAGCAGGTACGACTGAGACCGGACCCCGGTCAGAACCAGAACACGGGTCACAACAGCCAAAAACAGCAAATATTATCAGCAGATGTCATACTCTAAAAGAACCAACAGAGGGCGTTGTTACTGCGGCCTCTGCTGCTGTGATGAAGCGTTTGTCTGCAGGTGTTTCTTTTTTATCTAAAGGCCGTCTGTTAGAACACAAATCTGATATTTTAAGTTGTACCTGAGGACCTCAGGCCTTAGTTTGAGACCCCTGATTTGAAGAACAAATGGAAGCGTGTCCTCACCGTCACCAACACATGAACTGAATCACATCACTGATATACATTTAAATATATTCAGAATATTTGACAATATTTTTTCTCGGTCTCTGACACTCAGCTTGAACCAACGTCTCGTCTCTCTGCATTAGCATTAGCATTAGCATTAGCATTAGCATTAGCATTAGCATTAGCATTAGCATTAGCATTAGCATTAGCATTAGCATTAGCATTAGCATTAGCATTAGCATTAGCATTAGCATTAGCATTAGCATTAGCATTAGCATTAGCATCAGCTACATTTATCCTCTACAGACAACCGTGTGTCAGCTCCGTCACTGCTGGTTAAGACAGTATCACTGCAGCCTGGCACGGAGCTGAGTCAGCAGACTCCTGTGGGTCAAGGTCTGCACAACTGGACCAGGACCAGGACCAGAACCAGGACCAGAACCAGGACCATGACTATGACCAGTTGTTTGTTTGTTTGTTTGTTTTAAAGGAGACAGGCAACATTCCACAGGAAAACTGGAGATGGTTTGGCCCCCACCTCCCAAGAACTCCCCCCAGGAAACTGATCAGACACAGGTAACAGTTCCTTTGATCAGTTGTTGATTCTCACTCTCTCTGATCTTGGTCTCATCACTGAGGTCATAACATGTGATCCATGTGAAATAGTTGTATGAACAGCTGCGGTTTGAAGGAACGTCCAGTGACGACATCGTGTTCCTAAAGTCGTCCAAAAGTTCTAATGTATCTCTCATCCTGTGGCAGGACGTTCAGGGAGGAGCAGGAGGAGGAGGAGCAGGAGGTCAGAGGGCTCCTCTGTGGTAGCTCAGACCAACGTTCACCGGACCGTTGTGTCGATGACTTCATGTAACCACGTGTTGATTATGGTGGAGAAAACTCTGATTCACTTTGACAACAAAGAGTTTTTCTGTTGAACTCACTTCACTGGACGGTTAGTGAAAAGAATCAGTTCTAGATGTAAAGGAACAGAAAACTGTTGACAACAAATATGAAAACCTCAAAGATGAAAAAAATAAAGATTCCAACAACAACATCAAAGGTTTCTGCTGTGTTCTGACTTCAGTGGCGTTAAACGTTAAATGTTAGCTGGGACAAATTCAAGTTTAGCGAACAAAGTGAATGAGCCAAGCTAGCATGTTGCTCACTATTGCTAAGCTAACTTGCTAACACCAGCCATTGCTTCTTTTTTGGCATATCTAAGCCACCTGGCTTTTACTGCCACCTGGTGGATCTATTTCACACTAACAGCTGACTGCCACCTGGTGGATCTATTTCACACAGCCACTGTAACACTGTAAAACAACACCTGAAGCCTGAGGAGTTAAAAAAAAACACTCAGCTCATTTGAACAGACAGAAGCCCGGGGCTAAGCCCGTCTGAAACCCATCTGCCAGCTGCTGTGGTTCTGCCAAGGCGGGCAGGATGTTCAGACTGACGTCCTTGGCCTCCAGACACCAGTGTTAATGGGCTGCAGTTCACAGCAAAACAAACAGGAGGCAGGCCAGAGCTTGAACGTCACCACAGAGCCCTGGGGTTTCCTGGACGTTGAGCTCATTACATTTGGATTCTTTAGTTTTAATTAATAATATTAATCAGTTTTTAACCACGCACAGATCTTTTATTTTTTTAATCTAACTCTTGAGCAGGAAGTAAACCTCGGTGTAAATGAAATGTTGAGGTTTTTGCCTCAGTTTCTGACTAAAACCAGATCTGTTTTTATTTACAGCTCTGTGACCAGAGGAGGAAGCAGTGTATATATTTATATATTTATATATATATATCCTATTAGATCAGTGAAGGTCCCAAAAACGACCTGCAATATATGTCAATAAAATGATTATTTTAAAAATGTGTAAGGAATATTAACAACATTTTCTAACCATGGTCTTTCTCAGGGCCACAGACCTCCTGTTTGGTAACACTGTGCAAATACGGAAGTATCACATGGCAGTGTGTTATTAAACACAAAACAAGTTACTCAACATTATTTTTCCCCTGCGGCCTGTATGTGTACTGTGTGTACAGCGCCAGTAGAGGGAGCCAAAGCCTTAAACAACCACCAAGGTTGTGTCAGAATTAAACTAGAAACTGAAACAACGACCTGTTAAAGGTGATGTTGAGAAAAATTAAAAACAAAAACACTTTTATTTTGTCACTCTGTGGCTGTCTGACCATGTGACCATGTGACCATGTGACCAGACTCCAGGTTACATTAACACACTGTGATGTAACGTTACACAACATCTGAGTTTCCAACAGTCTGTGACAAATGTGGTCGTTTTCATGGACATCATTTCACCTCACACTACGTGGAAAAACGCCTGCAGCG